GCTGTGGGACGACAAGGGGACCGGGGACTTAAGCCCTGTTGGCCTCTTTGTTTTTCAATGATCACTGAGGGGAGAACTGAGGAAAATGATATTTCATCATTTCAAAAACAATTATAATCCAGCAGTGGTGGAAATGTAAAGGGGTTCTTTAACCTTGTTAACAAAAAATATTTACAAACGGTATTCATCACCTACAGTCATACAAATTTAGATGTGCCCATAAATACTTTAAGTAATCTGCCGTGGTTGATATTGATTTGAGGCTTGTGTAACGACCCAGTGCTCACACAGTCTGTTCATCTGGCCTACAGACTCCTAATTAGTTCTCTAACCCGCTGCTCATTTGGAAGCATCAGTTAAAAGCTCCTGTCGGCTCCACTAAAGCCAAAATTTGTCTGGAAATGCCATGGAACCTGGTTTGAATAAAGAGAAAAAACAAACAACAACAGAAGAGGCCTACTCTCTGATCCACCACAGATACCTTTTTAATTTCTAGAAGTGGTGCTTGTGCAACAAAAACTAACATTTAAAATCTCATTTAAAGGAATTCTTTTGATTTGTGCTCAAACAGACATTCTAATAAACTAGCAGAAACATCATTGTACTGGATGGTGGCGCTAGTGGTGGATTTACAGAGGGGGGTGGCACCGTCTCCTTTTTTCTCGAGTCAAATCTCTTTTACAGGGTTACACCGACTCAAACCGTGACAGATCCCCAGAGAAGTTATTTCTTCAAAACAGTGCTGGAATTCTGCTTGTTCAGCTCTGTGTGGTAGAAAAATCTTCACATACTGCAGCAGCTTTACAGTAACTTCTGACCCACAAGAAGTGGCCTCTGCAGTACTGTCACCTCCAGCAGTGTGAATAAATAGATATAAATGGTGGTTATCTGAACGAAGATAGAATAAAAACCTCAAAATGCCATTCAATTATTTAAGTCGGTTTCTGAATATGATGATGTTCAAATCCTATTATCAAACTTTTGGGAAAAAATGCTAAAATGATATATAAAAAATTAAAAACAATATGAATAGTTCAAGCTTTTGAATTAGTAAACTCCTGAAAAAAATGAATAAGGCTGAACTAAGCCAAATAACAATAACAACAATGATTCAAAATAACAGAATGCTATGACTAAAATTAAATAATAAACAATGTACACCTAGCAAAAAAACCCAAACCCTGCAACAAAAATATTAAAGTATTCAAGAAGTTATGAAAGACAATTATAAAATGGCCAAATAAAACATAAGAAGCCAAATAGAGGCCAGAATAAAATATGTTGCAGCTTTATTTTTGCTTGTCATTTCATCTTTCCTACACAACCTAATCTGGGTTAGAATTAAGAATCAGACCCACAACCACAATGTGAAGGAGGTAAGAACCCCATCATTGGTTCTAATCCAAATAGAATTAGTCAAATAAAGAAAGTATAAATACTAAATATAACCTGAGAATGATCTGAATGGGTAAAATCACAAAAAACTCTGAAATTCTGAATTGTATAAATGTGGAAACACAATCATGTAAAATGTCTTAAAATGACTCACAAAATGAAGTGAATGATCACATGTTTAAATGTGTGTAATGCCTTGCACTGTTAAATGTCAGTACAAAGGCAGTGATGCTGAGCTGATGTTGGCATCACCATAGCTGTGACTCTATAACAACTCAGCTGAACATCACATCTCTCAATCCCTCCCTCTTTCTCCATGTGTATAAATACTGAACAGCTCTTAGTCTTACATTCATCCACCAACCCATACACTGGGAAACTAATCAAGGCTCCTCGTTATAACAGCCAGTCTGCTCAGGCAGTGAGGGGAAAAGCAGGACAATCGCCGGGAACTGAAGAATACAGACGACAGCAGAAGTAAGTGACTTATCTCTGAATTGTCTCACATTTCAGGTCTTTTTTAAAGGGCTAGACAGCTACAGGGAGGTAATTGAGGAGGAGGGTTTAAAAGAAAACTTCTCTCCCTCTGGCCTCTGAGAGGCATTCAAGCGGCTAACAGCAGGACAGTGGAGCAGTCAGCCTACAGTTATGAGAAGGATCAGGCACAACTACTACCAGGCAACTGTTGGATATCTGACAGTGGGTGATGCACAGAGGTCAGGTTTAAGACACACATGAAAATCTTATTTTTAAAAGTATAATAACAACATATGAAGGACCAGGACATTATGTCAACTGATACCTGGGCTTCATAATGAACATATTTTTAGTTAATGACTAATGTTTCTAGCCAAGTATGTTCTCTAATAATAATAATAATAATAATAATAATAATAATGTAAAGAATAAGCAGGAGGATGCTGTGCCAATACAAATATAAAAACAAGTTTTTTTTACCATATTTCTCTTTTAATTGGGGTTACAACTCAACATTTCAATAATTTTATTTTTTAAATATCACTTTGTGAACTCTGAGAAATGCTAAGACTTGGGAAACTGACTAATATTTTCCCCAAAAAGCAAAAAGCATGTCTCGTAATTGAGGATTTAACTGTAAGTTTTGGTTCTCATTGTGTCAATGTTTATTCATTATTTTTGAATTTGAATGTTTTGAATTTCTATTATTGTTAACAATTCTAATAACAATGAGCTGCTGTCGGTTTGTGAGAGACTTTATTTTGTTTTTTGTACGTGCGTGTGTGTGTGTGTTTGTGGGCTTGTGTGGTTGTGTTATTGTCTGGCATCAGTCAGCTGCTCTAATTAACACAATGATCGTCTTTGTTTTATTTTCGTGACGCAGAAAATGACGGAGGCCTGGTGCAGGAGTCCAGGCTGGCGTCCTCTAATCAGGCCAACGCGTGCCGGTCGGATTAGCTCCTTAATTTCTACCAGAAAAAAAAAAGAAAAAGAAATAAAGACCAAAAAAAAAAACAAAACTGTAGCCAATGAATAATTAACGACCAAACGGACACCAGAAAGATATTATTATTATTATTATTATTGTGTAAAAAAGGACAGTAAGTACTTTATAAAAAAGTGACGATTGCAAAGTATGAATTTCCATTATTGGCTCTACAGATAATAATGGAATATTTAGCGGCTTGGACCGCTAAAATGTTTCATTTTTAAATTTAAAATAACAAGAGATAATTAACGAATCCCTATTTATTAGACTTTTAAACCAATAATAAATATATGAACCAATTTTCGGGGAAAAGTGACACGTTTTTTGACGCATTTGTCATTTACAGCCAATGTACAATTTAAAATACTTTACACCTGATTTGACATGTGGTTTCTATGGTGATTGAATTATATTTTGGTTACCGTCTTGTAACATTTTGTTTTGTTAAAATTGGATGCCTTCAATTTTCAACATTGAAGCCTGTGGTGTGTTTTTGTTTCCTTGTTTAATAGGGACACATTAAGTGGGGCCCATCTCCTTGTTTGTTTAGATTAAGATTAAGTGGCCCTCTCTAATCAACACTTTTCGATAGTCTCACCTTCCAAATCTAATTATCGGGAGCCATTCATTAGTGATGGAGGGGTGGGCGGGAGGGTGGTCCTCAGGAGGAACGTATATGTCCCCTTCCCTAGTTTGCGGGAATGTCCCCGGAATGTTTCTAATTACTTGCTAACGTTGTCCTTCGTATTTTAATGCCGTTACATTTGAATGTAACAAGAGTTTAAGTGAAAACAAACAATAGGGTCGGAGATATAGAAATGAAGATGCACCGATGTTTGTCAATGCGCGCTCAGTTTGCAGAGTTAGAGCTTTTGTCTCTCTCCCCATAAGTCTTTTGTTATCAGCACTACTTATCCGTCAACAGTGGGCTTTGTCTCTGCAAATGGCCCCCAATCAGCTGTCCATTTAGGTTCGCCCATAACCTGTGGGTATGTTAATTGAGGGCCCGGTGGGGGCCCCAACGAGTGTGCGCATTTTAACGACAATGTTTTGTTTTTTTGGTGGTTTGCAACCAAAAGACGACGAGAAGAAGGAGGTGGAGGGGGTGCGTGGTGTGGAGGGGGGTGGGTGGTGACATATTGTAGCGGTTTGTGTGTGTTGGTGTTGTGGGGCGGAGGAGGGAGGCGGTGGGTGAGGCGGTGGCGTAAACGCATGTCCGCCAGACAGAGCATCCTGAGGGTGTCCAGCAGGGGGACAGCTGGGGGTCTGCAGCCTCCTTTAAGAGCCGAGCCAGTCCCAGGAACGCACCCTATATATGAACCAATTTTCGGGGAAAAGTGACACGTTTTTTGACGCATTTGTCATTTACAGCCAATGTACAATTTAAAATACTTTACACCTGATTTGACATGTGGTTTCTATGGTGATTGAATTATATTTTGGTTACCGTCTTGTAACATTTTGTTTTGTTAAAATTGGATGCCTTCAATTTTCAACATTGAAGCCTGTGGTGTGTTTTTGTTTCCTTGTTTAATAGGGACACATTAAGTGGGGCCCATCTCCTTGTTTGTTTAGATTAAGATTAAGTGGCCCTCTCTAATCAACACTTTTCGATAGTCTCACCTTCCAAATCTAATTATCGGCAGCCATTCATTAGTGATGGAGGGGTGGGCGGGAGGGTGGTCCTCAGGAGGAACGTATATGTCCCCTTCCCTAGTTTGCGGGAATGTCCCCGGAATGTTTCTAATTACTTGCTAACGTTGTCCTTCGTATTTTAATGCCGTTACATTTGAATGTAACAAGAGTTTAAGTGAAAACAAACAATAGGGTCGGAGATATAGAAATGAAGATGCACCGATGTTTGTCAATGCGCGCTCAGTTTGCAGAGTTAGAGCTTTTGTCTCTCTCCCCATAAGTCTTTTGTTATCAGCACTACTTATCCGTCAACAGTGGGCTTTGTCTCTGCAAATGGCCCCCAATCAGCTGTCCATTTAGGTTCGCCCATAACCTGTGGGTATGTTAATTGAGGGCCCGGTGGGGGCCCCAACGAGTGTGCGCATTTTAACGACAATGTTTTGTTTTTTTGGTGGTTTGCAACCAAAAGACGACGAGAAGAAGGAGGTGGAGGGGGTGCGTGGTGTGGAGGGGGGTGGGTGGTGACATATTGTAGCGGTTTGTGTGTGTTGGTGTTGTGGGGCGGAGGAGGGAGGCGGTGGGTGAGGCGGTGGCGTAAACGCATGTCCGCCAGACAGAGCATCCTGAGGGTGTCCAGCAGGGGGACAGCTGGGGGTCTGCAGCCTCCTTTAAGAGCCGAGCCAGTCCCAGGAACGCACACTTGTCGTGCGTAAAGGCTGTGCGTAAAAGTCAGCGGACCACCTGAAACTTTCTGTAGTTTTTCTCCCACTGTTCACTCCGTGTTGCGATTTGAATTGAACCTTCTTCGAGGGGAGAGCACTGAACGGAGACGCCGAGGATTAAAACACACATTTTCCTGCATTTCTTCAAGGTTTTATCTCCATCACTGCCGCCAGTATGATGTCCTATCTGAAGCAGCCGCCGTACACGATGAACGGACTGGGCTTATCTACCTCAGGCGTGGACCTGGTGCACCCTTCACTGGGATACCAAGGTATATAATATATATTTAACACGGCAGGAAACGCCTACACTTGGAGAAAATGTTGTATGAATTGTAGAGAATGATCAAAATGTTCAGACGTGTTCTTCCATCGCATGTGGACATTTTAGGTCTTTCTTTTTATCTCATTCGATGTCATATTTTGATCATCAATGATCACTGATTATTTTTGTTTTTCGTTGATCAGCAACGCCCCGCAAACAGAGGAGAGAGAGGACGACCTTCACTCGAGCCCAGCTCGACGTTCTGGAAAACCTGTTCTCCAAGACCCGTTACCCCGATATCTTTATGCGAGAGGAGGTGGCCCTGAAGATCAACCTGCCCGAGTCCAGAGTCCAGGTGAGAATCCCACCAGGACCGTAACACCACCAACCCACATAGACCACGATCGAGAATCAACAAGTGACGACTTTACGTATATACAACTTAACTGTATTTTCAAATGATAAAAAAATGATGCACACACGCGTTAAATATAACACAATTAGAAATATATTATATACTTGAACATACTGTTAAAAGTGAGTTAAAACTGATTTAAAAATAACAGGATAAAGAGAATGTTTTTAGAGATTTTCTTTTAACGAAGTTTAAAGGTCAGCTTTTGGATTCAAAATTTAAAAAACATGAACTGAAGAGTTTTGGGTTATTATTTAAACGCACTGGCATAAAAAACGCAAAATATTGTAATATAATATGGTTAAATATGGATTTATTTTATTTTTGTTGAAAATATTTTTTTTTAATCCAATTGTGTTATGGACCAATGTAATAATATTTCTTATGTATTGCATATATATTTTCTAATTATTTTCTGTTCTTTTATTTTAGGTTTGGTTCAAAAACCGGAGGGCCAAGCATCGGCAGCAGGCCCAGCAGAGCCAGACAGGAGTGCAGAACAAGGCCGTGAACAGGCCGGTCAAAAAGAAAGGATCTCCGCTCAGAGAAACCGGTTCAGAGAGCGGAGCCAGCGGCCAGTTCACGCCGCCCTCCAGCACCACCCTCCCGTCTGTGAGCAGCAGCGCAGCACCGGTGTCCATCTGGAGTCCGGCCTCCATCTCGCCTCTCCCTGAGCCTCTCTCCGCATCCTCCTCCTCTTCATCATCTTCCTCCTGCATGCAGCGATCATATCCCATGACCTACAGCCAGGCCTCGGGCTACAACCAGGGATACACGGGCTCCTCCTCTTACTTCACCGGGATGGACTGCGGCTCCTACCTCTCGCCTATGCACCATCAGCTTTCCGCCGCCGCCGCCGCCGGCG